CGGAACTCCCTAATTCCAACTTTTGAAGGAATCGCCATACTGCTTTCCACAATGGTTGTACCATTTTACAGTCCCATCAGCAGTGTATGAAAGTTCCAATCTCTCCACAACCTCACTAGCATTTGTTATTTTCTGTCTTGCTGAACTTTGCTACTAGTGCTGGAGCTGGAATTTTCTTAGTGCTCAACTCTGTGAGCTCTTTCTCATCTTTATGGTCACCTAATATTGATGTTCTTCAGAGAGTTAGCCCAGGTAATTCTTCTATTTTGACTTTAAATTCTTTCCTTAAATTATTTCATTCATTTCAATTGCTACTTAAATATAAATGATTAACAATATATATCCCTATCCTAGACTTCTCCTCTTCATGCAAGAACTGTGTATCACCTAACTTACTTGATATTTATACTTGAATATCTGAAATACAATCTACTTTCATAGTGATACTGCCTTGGAAACCCAAGGAGGAGTCACTATGATTTGGGGCTGACTTGACAGCACATAACAACAACAACAGCAACATCTGAAATACAGCTCACAGTTAACAAGTCCATTATAGAATTTAAGATACAGCTTGCCTTACCATCTAATACCATCCTCATCCCATGTTCCTTATCTAAGTGAATGTTACAATGAATTATGAAGATGAAAGAACTTAATCATTCATGACATTCCCCAAGTTTCCGCAAATGGCATAGATTAGGAACTTAGTAATGGTGATTGGAATGAATTTCCCTGTTATACTGAGCTTTTTGAGGCCAAGAGAAAAACAGTACCCGTATTAAAAAAAAATTAAATTCCTACTGCCTGAAACAGAGTAGATGTTCATTATTTGTCAAGGTTTTGTGAGTAGGTGGGAGAAAATTAGTCACAGGTTTTTCTTGGAACTTTTCTTATAAATTGGCTTTCTTTATCATTATTTATTTTGTCTATTTAAAACAAATCAAAATAAAACTTTAAGTGTACAGAATAGGAACTTAGGTCCAGAGAGGTTATATGTTTAAAGTGACAAAACTGGTTATGATCAGAGAAAAGATAAGAAGCTGAGACCCCTGACTTTTAGTCTGGCATTCTTTCTATGACATCATTCAGAACCATCAGAATGAATCATTCTAAAGATGTATTGTTACTTCTTAATTATCTATAAGTGGCTATGGCATTATATAAAATATCCACAACTTACAAGGTTTCCTCTCCTCTCATCCTATAGTAAAGCTCTCACAAAGCTGCATAATATTATTACGTGGTGGTTCAGACTGACAATTTATGCAACAGTTAAATTCTCTTGTCAGTGCTTAAGATGAAAATACTGTCAAAAACTATCCTTAAAAATTCCTAAATCTCTCAGAAAGTAAAAATAGCCAACAATTATACAGTATTTACCATGTACCAGTGTAAATATATACATATGCATACACACATACATATTTACAATTATATACTATATACATATAATATATAATAGCCTATAAAATATAGCATATAATATGTTTATATTATATGTCATCATTTAGCTAGGAAGTGATGACATCAAGGAATCTGACACCACTGACCATGTCACTGTCCATGCTCTTAAACACTATGGGATGGTTTTAATGTAGTCAAATATGGAATATAACAATTTTCTTTTCTGTCTGTGTTGCAGTATTTTGCTGTTTCTTTGTTAGAATCCCACATGAAGCATTTGGTTGAAAGTTTAAGATTAATGGCCCTTGATGTGTGGAAATAGTAGATTCACAAATTCAATTTTACACTCCCTGCAGAGAAGAGTCCCATTAAATGGGATGACTGGTGAACTGACCATATTATTATATTGTTATTTCACTCTCACTCTCTCTCTTTGCTGAGGACATACAGTTAAATTCAAGGAAGTTAAACGTGCACATAGTATGATCTTCCTACATGTTCACTACATGGTAAATCTTGAGATCAAAGGACATTTGTTGGTAGAGAAATTTTTAAAATCAATTTAGAAAATTGGAAACAAAATCAAAATTGACAGTATATTTAGGCATAAAGTCCTCTTACTTTGGACATTCTCCCTTTCCCAATTGGAATAATTCAATATGTGAATTCTAGGATTAATATACTCTATTTACTTAGGATTGTTATCATTCCAAGTAAATCCTTTACGTTATGAGAAAAATGAAGGGATCAGGGAAGCAAGGAACACATTTGAAGGGCAAAATTAAAACCTCAGCAAACAAAAAAGGAAACCTGCAAGTGAGGATATCTCGTTTCTCCGTGGGTGCAGTGCGGTTTGTAAAATCAGCTATCAGGAATACTGACAGGCTGTTATTGATATATCCTCTTAAAGGATCCGTGGCATTTGTTGAGTAGGCGTAGAAGTAGACTAAACGAGGAATGATGTCCGATGTAAATGCAACAATAAAGGCCTGAAGGACAAAGTGAACAATGGAGGACATGAACTGTTAATCCAATTTTAAACGTATCATATTTGTATTTCTTTTAGTTTCAAGACCCATATGGATGTTTTGAAATTATTGAAGTCCTTTAATAAACCACTTTAATATACAAATCTTTGGCCTAAAACAAGAAAGATAGCTCATTTACCCAGTGTGTGATTACTGGTCCAATACTGGAAAGCTAGAATGTAGCTAGGTTGAAAATCAAACCAAATTGTATCTGTTTCTAACAACTATACTTTTCCTCTTGTTTCATAACAGAGTTTTACTGTCTTCAAAGAAATCCACTTACCTAGACCAACTTTGCAAGCTAGGGCTGTGTGTGTGTGTGTGTGTGTGTGTAAAAGGTTATGGGGGAAAAATTAGAGAGATAGAAGACCATGTGTTGGTAAATTTCTCACAGTTCAGTGTGATTAATTTCAATTATTTTATTCTACAGAAATGAAATTTTACCATCATTTTCCAAGTTTTGAAATATTTTAAATGACATGTTCATTCTAGGTTAGATAAGTCACTTCTAAAATCACAGGACTCTACATTTTTGTTGGTAGACTGTTTAATACCTTTAATATTACTTCTATGGCTACTCTATTTAGGTTTTCTATCACTTATTGAAAACATTTAAACAAACTTTATTTTCTGAAAAAGTGACGATTTCAAATAGATTTTTTATTTATTGGAATAAATGGGTACAAAATAACTCATTATAATTTTTTAAATCTCATCTGTAACCTGTAAATTGTTTTGTTTTTCTTGCTCAAAATTTCTAGCATTTTGCCTAAAGTATTTAACTTTCTAAAGAGCTAATTCTTGATTTACTAACAATTTTATTGTTTTTGTTTTCTAATTTGGTATTTTTGCACATCTTTGTTAATTCTTTCTTAGTTTTTACAGTTACATGCTCAGTTCATGTTTTCCAGTCTTACTTTTTTAATAATAAAAGTACATAATAACTATGAATTTTTCTTAAATTTGGTTTTAGCTGATTCTTATAGGTTCTCATTTTAACTGATCTTATACTGTAAGGATCCCTGGCAGTGTAGTAGTTAAACTGCTCAGTTGCTAACAAACTCAGAAGTTTGGACCCACCAATGGCTTGGCAGAGAAAAGACATATAGCCATCCCCTCCTGTAAAGATTAAAACCAAAAAACTAACTCACTGTCATTTAGTTGATTCTGACTCATAGCAACCCCCATTGGGTTTCCAAGGCTGTAAATCTTCGTAGAAGTAGACCGCCCCATCTTTCTTCCTCAGAGTGGCTGATGGGTTTGAACCACCAACCTTTTAGTTAGCAGTCAAATACCTTAATCACTACCCCACCAGAGGTCCTACCTGTAAAGATTACAACTTAGGAAACCCTATGTGGCAGTACTACTATTGTCCTATAGAGTCACTATAAGTCAGAATTTACTTGATAGCACATAACAACAACATGTAGTCATTTCAATTTTGTTTCCTCTTTATACACATGGAGGTGTGACTGTAAGTGGTCAGATTTTTGTTTTGATCACATTATTATCAATTTCTATTTTTAAAACATTGCTATAGGTAAATGTGTAGTGTAAAACTTCTACTTTTGAGAATTTAACTTGTTAATAATTTTTAAATAAATACTCCATAAACATAGCAGGTCATTTTATGTATTCTCCATTTGTAATATGTAAATTTATTTATATACAATAAATATACACTATTCAAATCCTTTATGTCAGTACTTACTTTCTGTATGTACTTATAAACTAACATGTTTTTCCCATACTATGGAACATGTGTTATCCTATTTAATGAGGATGGTTTTACAAATGTTCCTTGTATTTCTAAGAGTTTGTGTGTCATAGATTTCTCTGAGTTGTTAAGTGTATAAAAGTTCAGGCATGTTTTATGTTTATGGATTGTCACTATGATGAGACCAATGTAATAAAGATTGAGTTAAGCATAATTCACATCTCTCCAAGGAAACAAAAGTCAAAACAACATCACCTCACTGAAATAGTCTACTTACATTAGTTGCAACGGAAAGAACAGCCATCCCGTAAAGAATGTCTTGCCAAACTCCTATGCTATGGGCTTTAGCAGCTACAGGTCTCCTATACTGGGTAGTAAGTTTCCAGGCATCTACTCGGATCTCTATAATATTATTCAAAAGAGCAAGAAGAGGAGCCAGAGGAAAAGAGGCCACAAATAATGTTACAAATCCAAATTGGATAACTGTAGAGAAAAAAAAGAAAAAGGCAAGAACTCATTATTGTGGAGGGGGAAAGTGGGAACATCCTGCCTATGTTTTGCCACTTCCTTCAGTTTGGAGAGATCTTCAATCAGCAAAAACATTCCAGGATTCTTTCCACCTGTGCATTTCCTGCTCTCCATAGAAAGTACAGTGACGTATCAGCTTGCTAGAATTGCGAGAAACTGGGCATGCATAGCTCCCCTTCGTCCTTGCTTTTCCTTTTATATCTACTTGTTTGAAGAAAGGATCTATTTTTCCTTGCTTTTTATTATGGCCTAAGTTCAGTTCTGTGGTGATCTCATCTTTACATTTGGATATTAACACATTTATGGTATAATCAAGTTTTCTGTCTTGTTATCTATATTATTTTTGAGAGCAGAGATAATGACTTATTCTTTCATATGTTTCCACTACTCAGAATGTGCTGAGCATATAAAGGTGCTAAATTATGACGATTATTACTAAATGCACTATGTAAGAATCAAAGCAGCCAAGAGATAAAAAAGACAGTGCAAAATAAGATATTTGAGCATAATAAAGGAACTAAGAATAAGAAAATGAATCATGTAAAACAATCAGAAACAAATTGTATATAAGCAAAATAAATTAAATAAATAAACATTTTCTAGAATGAGGTATTGTTAAAGTTCTGAGCCTCTCACCTGTCTTGCTATCTTTCTAAATAATTATCACTGTCTTCACTAATACTTAACAGGAATGTTTATGTGTCTATGTGAGTGGGCTTCTTTCCACATTGTTCTTTTGTTTGCTGCAATGCTTGGGGTAAAAGAACTAACAGCTTGAACTTCACTAAGAATTGAAGGGAAAGACAACAAGAAACTTGGAAATGACTTTCAATTAAATTAGGGGGGAAAAAACCATCCAATCTTCCACTAGTTCTATTTTTAGATGAATCTCAAGTGTCTGTATTTCACCTTTCCTCACAAGACTGGATCAATCCTGTTATCTACTAAACAAAGTGAACACACATGTCCTGACTGCCTCTTCTACTGGAGCCCTGTCTACTGAACCAAGAGATATGAAGTGAAGAACTATTGTGTAGGATGCATCCCCAAGTGGTGCAAATGGTTAACACACTCAGCAGTGAACCAAAAGACTGGAGGTTCAAGTATGTCCAGAGGGACCTTAGAAGAGAGACCTGGTGATCTACTTCTGAAAAATCAGCCACTGAAAATCCTACCTGTGGAGCACAGTTCTACTCTGACACACTTGAGTTTGCATGAGTTGGAACCAACTCCACACCAACTGGTAATTTTTATTTTATTTCATTTGATATTGTATAGAAACAGGATCAACTTTGGATCAAAACTCTCTAGGTTCAAATCACAGCTTGCTGCTTAAAATATGTGTGGTGCATGGCAGATTAATGAACTTGTCCAACTCTAAGTTTCCCTAAATATAAAATGCAGCAAATAATACCTACTCGGCAGAATTGTTCCTCGATTAGTGACAATGTACATAAAACACCAAAAATAAACTAACTCTTAGTTGTACTTCAATAAATGGTGGTGAAACTTGTTATGAAACCTTTACTTCAGCTTTTAATTTAATAATAATATGATGCACATATGCACCAGTTCATGGGAAATTTATACAATTGAATGTTCCTTAGAAGTGAGGATGGTGAGACTTCATATCATATACTTTGGACATGTTACTAGAGGGATTAGTCGCTGGAGAAGGACATTATGCTTGGTAAAAGAGATGGTCAATGAAAAAGTGGAAGACCCTCAGAGTGATGGAGTGACACAGTGGCTGCAACAATGGGCTCAAACATAGCAATAACTGTGAGGATGGCACGGGACTGACAGTGCTTCATTCTCTTGCATATGGGGTTGCTAAGAGTTGGAGTCAACTCAACAACACCTAACAACAATCACTCCATAAAGAAAGGACTAGCTAATTTTACAACCAACTATAAAGTGGAATATCTTTCTAATTGTCCTAAATTTACCTATTTTAATCCAGGTGTTATAGATACATATTACACTGGGGAATCATGAACAATGTCAGTTTCATCTGATTTATTCCCTATGATTTTACGGGCCTTGAAAATAAATTAAAGAAATCTCCTTCCTTAATTCCATCAGATAAGCAGAAAAAGTTGAGAGGAATGATAGAGTAGACTATATGAGAAGTCCACAGCATTACTGCTCTGATATTTTCACTTCAAGATCTCTTCTATGTTCAATCCTTGGAATATTTTATGCATTTCTTGAGTTCAGTTTGGGTTTCCCTTACATAACTGTTTTTAGCCTTCTTCTTTTTATCCTGAAAATAAAGGACATACACTAAACGTATGTCAGACTCTAGAAATGCTTTTCAATTTTTTCTCCCTCTCAGCTAATCACAGAGGCAGACAAAAGGAGAAATAGCTATTAAAGCTAATTTGAGACTAGTATTAAAAAGTGAACCTTACTTGATTTAGTTTAACAATATTAATATTCAACTTTTTAAAAAATCACAAAGATTGGTGTTTTGTAACTAAACTTTATTCTTTCTTTTATATGATACCTTTCATTTTTATAGGAAAATGGTGAACCAATATCCATATTGATACATTGATTCATTTACCATTCAATGATTCAATGAACACCTACTATATGCAAAGCACAAAGGCACATTAAGAACTGAAAAGTACTTTTTTACTCAGCCTGACTCTGTTTCAGGGCAGTGGATGAAAATTACCTGTTTCTAAGTACTCATAGAACAGACCAAGGTTTCCAAAAGATTCCAGGTCATGATCCTGCTCCCATCGACTGTATAATTTCTCAGAGTTTGTCCGAGTTTTTCGGCGTCTCCACCAATTCAAAACAAGACTGTTGGAAATGAAATAAATAAATACACAAAATAGAATTAAAGAGAAAGAGGTCAGATAATTTACATTCTATATCTAGAAATTAGAGTCAGACTGGTTAAGCATAAAGTAAGATCACAGACTAAGCAGACACAGAAGTATAGCTAACTTCTAAGTCAACATCTAGTGTTCTCTGTACATTTCATGCTGTGATCAAAACCTCTTTGTTAGGATTTATTAGGATGTTTAATTCGACAATACTAATTCCCCTACAGTAATATATTTATTCAGAGAGAGTTCTATTGAAGAGCATGTGGAAGAGGGGTCAGCTTAAGAAGCATTTTATAACTATTAAATTTATTAAGCTTTAGGCTTTGTTGATACTTAGAAGAGATAACATTCTTTAGATATTCAAGAAAATGGAAAATATATGAGAAAGGAGAATGTAAAGCCTATCGAAGATGTTGAAATAAATGCAAAGATCCCAAGCAAAATATGAATGAATTAAATCCCGTACTATATAAAAAGATATGTCATGATAAAATTGGATTACTTTGAGTAATGCAAGAGTTATTTATTTAAGGATAAAAAAATAAAATTATTTCAATTAATATAGAAAAAATACATTTATTGCATTCCAAACATCTATTCAAAACCTACTTATTACAGAATTCTAGGAATAGATGTAAATTAACTCAATGTGATCAAAAGAATCTACAAAAAACATGAAACAAACATTATTCTTAATAAGGAAAAGTTGGAAGCATAACCTTTAAAATTAAAATTTGAGTGTGCATGATCACATTTAAGACTCTACTAGGGAACAAAATTAAAAAACACAGAAATAACCAGAATTATTGGTCAGATAGAGATTGGTGGAACCCCTGAGACTATAGCCCTGGGTTATCCTTCAAGCCTGGAACTGGACTCACTTCTGTAGATTAGCTCTCAGCCAAACAGTAGACAGATCTACAAGCAGAACACCTGCCCCAAGGAGATGCACCCCTAGATCAATCAACCATGAGTCATCAGAGGAGCACCATTTGCTTAGGGGGAAAGCTGGACAGATAGGAATGCATAGATAAGAAGGGCACAGGGATGGTATAGTCACAGGGAGGAGATGGGAGTAGAGTTTTTTATGGTTGGGAATTGTAATCAGGCTGTGAAACCAAATGCAGATGAACTCTTGTGAGTAAAAGGAATCTGCTTTGTAAATTTGCACCCACATCATAACAAAAATTAAGGAAAAAAAAAAGACTCTACTAAGATCTTAGGAGCTCTGGTAGCATAGTGCCTAAGGCACTTGACTGCTAACCAGAAGGCTGGCGGTTCAAACCCACCAGCCACTCCTTGGAAGGAAGGTTGGGCAATCCTACTTCCATAGTGACACTGCCTCGAAAACCCAAGGAGGGGTCGCTATGAGTCCGGGCTGACTCGATGGCAAACAACAACAACACTAAGATCTTAGCGGCACAATAAGATGAAACAAACAAATAACTAAAGACAAAATAATAAGAAATGATAATAAAATCTATTACTATTCACAATGATATAACTGTCTATGTAGAAATCCAGTTGAATGTATAAAAAAATTACTAGAAATAAGAACAGGAATTTATCAAGTTGATTGCCTGTAAGATCAATATTTTTCATTCCTATATACCCATATCAATTAGTTAGAAAGACAATTTTAAAAAAGATAGCACTTAGAACTGTAAGTGAAAGTACCTAGGAATGGATTTGACAAAAGCTGTGTAAGACATATATGCTTAAAACATTTGTTTAAACCCAATACAGTCCTATGTAAAGGTTCATGAATAAGAAGACTCGGTATTATAAAAAATATCAATCACTTTTAATTGTTTTACAGATAAAATTTCAATCCAAATACTTTTATTCATGTAAAATATGAAAAAAAAAATGTTTCTAAAATTCATACACAAAGACAAACACCAAAGGACACTCTAAATATTTCTACAGAAGAATAAGTTAGGGAAACTTGCCCTATCACATATCGAGACATACTATAAAACTGTATTAATTGAGATTGTATAGCATGGGTGTGGAGTCCAGGAGTAGTACAAACAGTTAATGTGCTTGGCTGCTAACCAAAATATTTTTGGTTTGAGTCCACCTACAGGTGCCTCAAAAGAAATACCTAGAAATCTACTTCTGAAAAATCATCCACTGAAAACCCTATGGAGCACAACTCTACTGTGACACACATGGGATTGCTACGTGTCAACTTAATGGCAGCTGGCTTTGGTATTAGTGGACGAGTAGACAAATTAACCAATGGAACAGAATAGAGACCTTGAAATAGCCCCACATTTACTATATGGGTTAAGTAACATTATAGACCATGGGAAATGAAGAACAACAACTCAATAAATGATACCATGACAGTTAATACCACCATTCATCTGTCAGTTTGCTGTATTGTATTGTGGTGGCCTGTGTACTGCTGGAAGACTGGAGGCTATGCTACCAGTTTTTCAAATACCACCAGGGTCATACATGGTGGACAGGTTTCAGACAAGCTTCCAAACTAAGAGAGACTGGGAATAAGGAAGGGGACATGCACTTATGAAAAAAAAATCAGTGTTTTGGTTACTTCGTGCTGCTCTAACAGAACTTACCACAAATGGGTGGCTTTAACAAATGGGGATTTATTCTCTTATAGTTGAGGAGGCTAGAAGAACAAGTTCAAAGTGCCAAGCTCTAGGGGCTGGGTGAAAGCCCCTCAGCTTTGGGCTTCAGCTCTGTCTCTTGCTCCCAGCCCACTTAAGCTAGTCCTTCACTCAGGCAGCTGCTGGTTGCTGAGGCTAACAAGCCCAAGGTCAACAAATAAAATGGCACAATCCCAATATTTCCAAACAACATGGCAGAACACTATTTCAACTCCAGAGATAGTCCCAAGAGTAGCAGGAAATATGGCAAGCTACTAAATGAAGATTCGGCTACATGCAGGATCTAAGCATGCCAAAAAGCTGCAGACACCTTTCTCTAAACTTCACTTTGTATCCTGGAAGCAGACCATATCTCTAAAGCAGCTACTCAGCTGCTCCAGTAGATTCCACCATGGATTTGATTACCAATCTCATCATGGGGAATAATTACATTCAGCTGCACAGCCAAGTTGACACACAACTTAACTACCACAATTGGCCAGTGAAAACTTTATAAATAGCCCTGAAACATTGACACAGTGCCAGAAAATGAACCCTTCAGGTTGGAAGGCACTCAAAATACTACCGGGAAAGAGCTGCTTCCTCAAAGTAGAGTCAACCTTAGTCACATGGATGGAGTAAAGCTTTTGCAACCCCCATTTCCAGATGGGGCATGACATAAAATGGGAAGAAACAGCTGCAAACATCCATTAATAACTAGAACATGGTACATACAAAGTATGAATCTAGGAAAATTGGAAGTTGTAAAAAATAAAATGGAATGTACAAAGATTGATATCGTAGGCATTAGTGAGCTAAAATGGATTGGTTATTGCCATTTTGAATCAGACAATCCCATGACCTACTATGTCAGGAATGACAAATTGAAGAAGAATGACGTTGCATTCATCATGAAAAAAGAACATTTCAAGATCTGTTGTGAAGTACAATGATGTCAGTGATAGGATAATACCCACACAACTACAAGAAAGACCAGTTAATACTATTATTCAAATTTATCCATCAACCACTAAAGCCAAAGATGAAGAAATTGAAGATTTTTACCACTTTCTGCAGTCTGAAATCGACCAAACATGCAGCCAAGATGTATTAATGATTAGTGATGATTGGAATGTGAAAGCTGGAAACAAAAAAGAATCACTGGTAGAAAATATGGCCTTGGTGATGGAAATAACACTGGAGGTCATGTGATAAGAGTATTGCAAGACTAATGAGTTATTCATTGCAAATACCTTTTTTCAACAATATAAATGGCAGCTATACATGTGGACCTCACCAAATGGAATACACAAGAATCAGACTGACTCCAAAAAACCAAAATCACTGCTGTCAAGTCAGTCCCGACTCATAGTGACCCCTCCTTGGGTTTCTGAGGTGGTATTCCCATGGAAGTATATTGCCCAACCTGGAAGCTTGATATCTTCAGTGGAAACAAGACCAGGAGATGACTGTGGAACCAATAATCACTTACTCATAGACAAGTTCAAGTTGAAACTGAAGAAAATTAAAACAACTTCATGAGAGCCAAAATATTTCCTTGATTATGTCTCACCTGAATTTACAGACCATCTGAAGAAAAGATTTGATAAATTGAACACCACTCACCCAAAACCAGATGAGTTGTGGGATGACATGAAAAGTATCATACATGAAGAAAGCAAATGGGACAGGAAAGGAAGAAAAGACCAAAATGGATGTCAGAAGAAACTCTGAAATTTGCTCTTGAGTAGAGAGTAGCTATAGCAAATGGAAGAAATGATTAGCTAAAAAAAGTCAAGCACTAGATTTCAAATGGAAGCTTGAGAAGACAAAGTAAAATATTACTATGCAATGTGCAAAGATCTGGAGTTAGAAAACCAAAAGGGAAGAACACACTTGGCATTTCTCAAACTGAAAGATGTGATGGAAAAAATTCAAGCCTCAAGTTGCAATATTGAAGGACTCTATGGGCAACATATTGAATGATGTAGGAAGCATCAAAAGATGGAAGGAATACACAGAGTCATTTTACCAAAAAGAATTGGTCGAGGTTCAACTATTTCAGGAGGTAGCATATGATCAAGAACCAGTGGTACTGAAGGAAGAAGTACAAACAGCATGGAGGGAATTGGAGAAAAACAAGGCTCCAGGAATTGATGGAATACTCATTGAGATATTTCAACAAATGGATGGACTGCTGGAAACACCCATTTATGCCAATAAATTTGGAAGATAGCTACACAGCCAACTGATTAGAGGAGATCCAGATTTGTGCCCATTCCAAAGAAAGGTGATCCAACAGAATGTGGAAATTATTTAATAATATCATTAATATCACACAAAAGTAAAATTTTTCTGAAAATAATTAAAAAACAGTTGCAGCATTACATCAACAGAGAACTGCACAAAATTGAAGCTATATTTAGAAGAGAACATAGAACATGCTGATGTCAGATGGATTTTGGCTCTTCTTTTATCTGTGTTATACTGACTACTCAAAGGCATTTAATTGTGTAGATCATAACATATTATAGAAAGAATGGGAATTCCAGAACACATAATAGTGTTCATATGAACTGTACATAGAACTAGAGGCAGTCATTCAAACAGAGCAAGGGGATACTGCATAGTTTAAAATCAGGAAAGGTGTGTATCAGGGTTGTATCCTTTCACAATACTTATTAAATCTGGATGCTGAGAAAATAATCCAAGAAGCTGGGCTTTATGAAGAAGAACACAGCATCTGGACTGGAGGAAGACTCATTAACAACCTGAAATATGCAGATGACACAACATTGCTTGCTGAAAGTGAAAGGGATTTGAAGCACTTACTGATGAAGATCAGAGACTACAGTCTTTGACTGCTAACCAGAAGGCTGGTGGTTCAAACCCACCAGCCACTCCTCGGAAGGAAGATAGGGCAATCTACTTCCACGGTGATACTGCCTCGGAAACTCAAGGAGGGGTCGATATGAGTCAGGTCCGACTCAATGGCACATAACAACAACAACAACATAAAGAAAACAAAAATTCTTACAACTGGACCAATAAGCAACACCATGATAACTGGAGAAAATATTAAAATTGTCAAGGATTTCTTTTACTTGGAACTGCAGTCAAATCCCATGGAAGCAACACCCAAGAAATCAAATAACACATTGCATTGGGCAAATCTGCAAAAGACCTCTTTAAAGTGTTCAAAAGCAAAGATGCCACTTTTAGAACTAAGATGCGGCTAATCCAAGCCATGCTATTTTCAATCACTTCATATGCATGTGAAAGCTGGATAATGAATAAAGAAGACTGAAGAATTGATGCATTTGAATGACATTGTTGGTGAATATTACTGAATATACCAGAAGAATGAACAAATTTGTTTTGGAAGAAGTATAGTCAGCAAGTTCCTTAGAAATGAGGACAACAAGACTTTTTTCTCACATACTTTGGGCATGTTTTCAGAAGGGACCATTTCCTGGAGAAGTACATTATACTTGGTAAAGTACAAAGTCATAGAAGAACAGGAAGATCCTCAATGAGAAGGATTAATACAGTGGATGCAACAATGGTCTCAAACATAGTGATAGCTGATTATGAGGATAGCACAGGACCAGACAGTGTTTTGTTCTGTTGTCATAGGGTTGCTATGAGTTGGAATCAACTAGAAGGCACCTAACAACAATATTTTCGCCATTCAGTATTTATGTGTGAGTTTAATTCCATTTATTTTGTATCTAATCGCAAATTCATTTGTTTCTGAAACTCATGTTTTCCTTTATTTCTGGAAAATTTTTAGCAATCTATTTATATCTTCTTTCCTCCACTACTTACTGAATTCTCTTTTTCAGGAACTAATAGGGGAAGTGGAAGACTCTCAATCTAGCTTCCTGTCACTTTAATTTTTTTAATCTCTTCATTTTTCAGTTGCACGACAGAATATGGGAATTTCGTAGTATTATTTTCCAATTCACTAATTCATTCTTCAACTTTGGCCAGTAGGAGGTTGATCCTGTCTATTGTACTTTTAAGTTAACATACTAATTTTCATTTGTAAGTTTTCTAATTGATTCTGTTCTGTAATCATTTGTTTTTATTTCTTTTTTGCCTGTTTTCTTTTCATTATTTCTAGATCCTTTTTAGTGAAAGTATAGCCTCCAGTATTTGTCTTTAATATGCTCAACATAATTTTTTTGTGGGCTTTGCCACAATCTTCTATAAATTTATCTTCTTCTGGAGAAGTAAACTTTCTGATAATTGATCTTGATAGCACCCTTCTAAGTATTAAATCTCATTAGTTCTGTATGTGTTATTATTATTACTTTTTGAATTTTTGAATTTTGTTAGCAGGCAGGCTCACATTACATGTTTTGCTTGTTGCTTGTTTTCATTCTACCTGCCTTTGTTTATCTGTCTGTCTCGCTGTGTATAACTCTTTTCCCTCATATGTTTGGTTTTGGAATTGTCTTCATTCTGTTCTTCTGGTTCTCAATTTAGAACTAGGATTTAAAATAATAATTTAGAGTTATGCCCCTATACTGATATTGAGGGTGTGGCAGATTCAATCATGGAGCTAGACTTGGCTCAGTTACTCTTTGTAAGGTCCAGACCATGTTCTTCCTTTGTCAGCATATGAACAGCATAGTGATCTTTCCCTAGATTTTCCTCAAACAACAGAAACACGTTTCAAAGCCTGTATTACCTTAATGCATTCGTAACTGCCAATGAAAAGTAAAGTTCTTGTTGGCTTAAAAATTTTCTATAAAGGCACCATAATAATCAAAGAAGGCCATCTTCTTCCAGAGGAAACCTATCATGGTTACTTAAATCAAACAAAAAACTCCTAAATCATACATACGGATAAATGGCTTCTTTAATGTTTCCAAATAACTGTTTCCCAAACATTATTATCGTCAACTGAGTTGTCAGTTCTATTAGGCAGCCTGCAGGATCACACTAGTCAGAACCAAGAAGAGAGAAAAAAAAAAAGAAGTGAATGATGAACTTTAGCAACAACTCAAAGGAATCTCAATGCAGAATGTTAGATTCTCAAAATTTTGGTTAGAAAGGATATTAAAACACATTTAGACCAATAGTTTCAAACATGATCATGGACTAATGCCTAGCTCACTGTATTAGATACAACTGAGGAATGAGTTAAAATGATAGATTTCTGGCTCTTGTTCTCAGAAAAAAACTGAATTTTTATGTCTGGGTTGGGTTTGGGAGTTGAATTTTCTCCATGCGATTTCAAAACCATTGATCTGGTTCAATTCTATACCCCATGGTAAAGCCATTTCTGCTATATCCCTAAGAACTAATCATTTATCCTTTGTGGGAATTCTCCAGGAATAAAAGACTCATCTCCTTCCATAGCTCATATTTTATTGCCAAACAGTGGGGCCAATATAACATCTTGCTCAGAGGTCACTGTTAAGTCTATCACATGAAAGGTTCTAAGACCCATACTTTCCGTAGACAGTGTCAATGTCCTATAATTCTTTCATATCTTTTTAATATCTGGGATAGGACTGGGTACACAGAAGATATTTATTAAACACTCAGTTACTACAGGCACAAATTTCAGCAATCAAGAGAATTCTTACCTCTTCACTTCTCCATATTTGAAACATATATGTGTATTTTCCAGGATAGCCCACAAGCTTCCCTTTAAAGAAAGCCACATAGAAGATGGACGAGTAATAGTTTACAAACTGAAATAGGAACATTTTCAAGGTAAGACTGCTTTCATACTCCTGGTGAGTTCGAGGAAGTTCTGGTAAATGAAAAATACCAAAGTTTAATGTTTTTCCTTGAATATTCTACTCCCTGGGGCAAGTTGGTATTTTATCGGATTATTCTGAGAACTTGGAATGCTTATCATGCTAGTCACAGATAACCAATATTAAGTAACTATGGACTTGTGCCAGACTTTCTGTTAGACATTTTGCATTAAGTTAATCATTGACAAAACCTAGGAAATAAACATCATTATATTTGTTGTTATTGTTATGTGCAATTGAGTCAGCTATGACTCATAGCAACCCCTCCTTGGGTTGCCAAGGCATTACCGAAGTAAATTGCCCAAACTTCCTTCTAAGGAATGGCTGGTGGGTTTGAACCGCCAGCCTTCTGGTTGGCAGTCAAGTGCCTTAGGCACTATGCTACCAGAGGTCCTTCATTATATTTACAGGGGTAAAATATTTGTCTGAGTTCACACAATCAGTCTGTAGATTTAAAATCCATATAGGACTAAAGAGGCTACCCTTAACTCAATACACTATGTGGTCTCCTGTAAACATGTTAGATCTTCCTCTTTTCTGTTTTCAGTCACAGTACTGGGGCATTAACATATAAATGTATCTTTTGTGCTGGGACAATTCAACCTGCTATAGCCAGCTTACCCATTTTTGTGATCCAGGCAGATATCTTTTCATAAAGGAAATTCAACATTAAGATGACAATAAAGTTCAAGCATGATCCTGTGAGTGACGTGGTCAGCTGAGGAGTAAGGATACTTCTAACAGGCTCTAAGGTTGCTTCAGATTCCATGAAGGTAGCAAATGTAGCATAGACTGACAGTCGGTACACAATCACAGCTATCATACAAGCAAGGACAAGAGACATCTGAGGAAGAGAAATGATTGTTCACTTTGGTCCCTGTACCTGTGTAATACATATGTATCTGAAATATTACATACCATTTTGTTTATTTATTTAGTTAGTTGTTGCAGTGTTTCCTCCCCTCCCGTTTCACCTCTGGTAACCAACAAAGAAAATTTCCTTCCATATATAAACCTTTCCTTGACATTTTACAATAATGAACTAATACAATATTTGTCCTTCTGTGATTGACTTAGTTCACTCAGCATAATGGCCCCAAGTTCATCCACGTTATTTGGTATTTTGCAGATTCTATGTTATTCTTTAGGGCTGCACATAGTATTCCATTGTGTGTATATACCACAGTTTGGATATCCATTCTTCTGTTGATGGACACCTAGGTTGTTTCCATCTTTTCGCTACTGTAAATAGTGTTGGAATGAATATGGGTGTGCATATAGCTGTTCTTGTCCTGGCTCTCACTTCTTTAGGATATATACTTAGTAAGGGGATTGCTGGATCAAATAGTATTTCTAATTCCAACTTTTTAAGGAATTGCCATTCTGCTTTCCACAGTGGTTGTGTCATTTTACAGGCCCACTACCAACAGTGAATGAGAGTCCCAATCTCTTCACATCCTTACCAGCATTTGTAATTTTCTGTCTTGTTGTACTTTGCTATTAGTGATGGGGCACTATTGTATCTCATTGTTGTTTTGATTTGCATCTCTCTAATGGCTAATGATTGTCAACATATCTTCATGTGTTTGTTGGCTGCCTGAATATCCTCTTTGATGAAGTGTCTATTCATGACTTCAGCCCATTTTTTAGTTGGATTGTTTGTCTTTTTGTTGGAGTTTTCTATACATTTTAGAGCTAAGTCCCTTGTCAGATATGTTGTTGCCAAATATTTTTTTCCCAGTCGGTAGGTTCTCTTTTCACTCTATTGAAGAAGTCTTTTGAATCACATAAAAATATAATTTTTAGAAGGTCCCATTCACCAAATTTATCTTCTGCTGTTTGTGCATTTTGGGTTATGCATGGCAGTCTATTTATATGATATATTAGGGCCCCTAAATTTGCACCTATTTTTTCCTTGAGGAACTTTATAGTTTAAGTATCACATTTAAGTCTTTGATCCATCTGGAGTTCATTTCTATGTATTGTGTGAGGTATGGATATTGTTTCATTTTCCTGCAAATGGATATCCAGTTTTGGTAGCACCATTTGTTAAAGAGACCACCTCTTCCCCATTTAATGGATTTCAGCCACTTCTCAAAAATCAGCTGACCATAGGTTGATGGATCTATTTCTGGGTTCTCAATTCTGTTCCACTGATCTATATGTCTGTTGTTGTACTTATACCAGGCTGTTTTGACTGCTGTGGCTGTATAGCATGTTTTGAGATCTGGGAATGTAAGACCTACTTTGTTGTTCTTCAATAGTGCTTTGGTTATCTGAGGTCTCTTTCCTTATAAAACTAGTGATTGGTTTTTCCATATCCTTAAAGAATGTCAATGGTATCTGGATTGGGGTTGCATTGAATGTATAGATTGCTTTGGGTAGTACTGACATTTTCACAATGTTCAATCTTCCTATCCATGAGCATGGTATGTTCTTCCATTTATGTAGATCTCT